ACAAAAAGGCTAAGCTTACCTCGCCCCCCGATGATAATATGATGCAAGTAATTCTCAGGGGTGGGGAGTGGGGCCCTAAGGTTGCATGAATTTGTATCATTGTCAAAGAGACTGCTAAAGCCGGTGTTTGCCATTGATGATTTGTGAAAAATTATTAATTTAAAAAAAAAAGATCTCTCATTATCTTGGCTGATTAATGACTAATTGCCAACACTGGCTAAAGCTTTCACCTGTCCAAAGCCTTCAAATGTTTGGGAGCCTTCGTCTGTGAGAAAAAGTTCCATGGTCATGCTGGACTCAACTTCAATGTTTGATAGACAGTGTTGTGACCCGAAACTCTGAGTTTAGGAAAAACCAGAAACAGTAACTAACAGAAACCACCCGAAACTAGTTTAGGTTAGTAGTTTATGTTTGTGTTTAGGTTTAGGTTTAGATTTCTGCTTAGTGTAAGTTCATTTTCCGAAACGTTTCGGGAAGCCAAAAGAGTTTCTGGTCACAACACTGTTCCAAAGGAGCTAAGTTTTTCTTTACTGAATACAAATTGAGCTCCAGCACGCTCATTTACTGCTAAACTCTAACATTTCTTATATTAATATTAATAACGTGATACATGATTGGGTAGATAAAATCATTGATTAGGAATTCGGTTAATGTTCCAGGATCAACTAATTTTAATGTAGACCTATACATAATTTATCATGCGCAAAAGCTTTTTATAATTATTGTCAAATTATAGGAAATGATTATGAATAAGCTACTTTGCGATAATAAACCTTCAATAATGCAGTAACAATAGAGAAAAACCAAAAAATATTTATCAAAATATTTTTCTGTTCAGGAACAAGAATTAAAAAATTTATTACAACATAATTATGATTTAGCTTTAAATAAAAAGATAATACTCAATTATAGTGAAATTAATCATCCATTGTTAATTAATTCATCAACCTTATCAATGTTTTCACTACTAGAATCTAATGTTTATTAATTATCGTTAGTAATAATCAGTGGAAATTAATTAGTAACATGTTTATTAATTGTTTTAATAAAAAAAATAATTACCATGCTTATTATTGATGGTAGTACTTAAGGTTCTCGAGGATCTATCAAAATACTATAACCTTGAGAATTTGAAAAAAATGAAGTATCCAAGAATTTTCTTGGAATTGCAGCATTTAATTGTTCATCATTTAAAACGATTGTTTTACTTTCTGGTCGTCTTCCTATCATTGTATATCCAAAATTTACCAAAATATCTTTCAAATATCATGGATTCACTGAAATTCTTCTTGCAAAACCCCACGTATCCAAACTTCTGGATCCAAATAAACACACAAGAATGGCTCCGATGACACCTATTGGTTACCGAAAAAAAAAGAAAGATTTATACAATTTCTAACTTGTTACGCTATTCAATTTAAATATACAAACCAAAGGCACCACCAGCTGATGCAATGGTACTTAGAATAGTAGTTGTGCTATATTATGATTCATAAATAATATAAATAAATTGTATTCATAGTGATATTTCTAATATACTCTGTTTAAACTATATTGTTAACTTGCCGTTTTTCAGAAACTTTTTCTTGTACAAAATCCCCAGCAGCAACTGAAAAATAACCATTGGTTCCATCTGGTACAGGTGGATTCTGGTTAAGGGGAAAATAATTGACTATGCAATCATATCTCGGAGTAATTGCATAGTTGGACCCAAGTCCAATGATGGCAGAAACGTCCAGAGGTGGTATGCTTTTATATATACTTGTCTTGAACTTGATCTAAAAGTAGATGACAAAATTAAGCATACATGAATAACTGGAAAACGATCAATAATTATGTGAAAGAATTCTACCAATGAAACGTGTCCTATTATTCCAGGCATAAAGTTCCAGTCAAGTTCAAGTCTTGATCGAACAGCTTTATCCATCTCACTGACATCCAGTAAGTCTATTTAAAAAGTATCAAAAAGATTAGCAATTTTGATAATTTATTCTTCGGATAATGCCAATTTTTTTTTAAAGAAGCTGATCTTTAGATTTGTTAGAAAAATTGAGTATAATAATAATTAAAATTTACATAAGGGGAATTTTCAGTATAAGATGACCATCTATCTATACTAAAATAATCTTACTAAAAGGTATGCCGGTTCAAATATAATTATAATTGTATTTTGTAATAACCATTGGGTATTCTGTTGCAAGTTGGATTATTAAATAAATTGAGTATGAGACATAGCAAAGGGCAGCCAGCGCATATGCGAAAAATTTTAAATTTTGGTAAGTTGTTGTCGTTGCATTTCTATGAAGAAATTTAAATATATTAAATCCATAGAAATTTGTGACTATTGCAAATTTAAATTTTGTACTAACTTTAATTATAGTTTCTTTATCATCTTCAACCATAATTTCTTCTTCATTTAGAATCTTAGCTTCAATTATAGTTTTTTCATTACCTGGAATACTAGCAATAGTCATGGCTAATATATTGAACAAACAGAAAGCATAAATGCGAGAACTTTTTCAGAATATATAAAAACGACTATTACTAACATAGAGTGTAGCTTTTTACAATTCGAAAATTCTGTTCTCTCGGAAATTCACGGATCTTTGTTTTTTTTTAATAGCTTACTGCGTATTAGAGAAAAAAGTTTGACGTATTGTACTGCATTATTAAAATTTGAAAATATAAAAAAATTACTCGCAACATTCTCTAGAAAATCAAGCTCTGAGAAGCTCCGTTGGAATTAACTGATCTAATTCTTAATTCAGAAGGTGCTAATTGAAAATAATGAACCGATACTGAACACCTTTGTCAATGGATATTGTAATAAAGTGCTGTTAATTCCATAATACTTAAACGTCAAGCTGAAACGCGTTTTCTGTGTTTATTAATATCAAATAATTCAGAACCTTCAGGTTTTGAGACATACACTTGACGAAACCTGAGGTGATCACGTATTGAAAATTAATGTTCCAATTCCATGATTAAAGTTTCTGAACAACCCATCTATCTTCTTTTTTGTCTTCGATAAAAAAGAATTTGGTGAGAAGTACGTTATATTTGACAATGGTCGAGGAAATCTTTTTTTGCACGTTCAAATCACTTGATTATATCTTCTGCACATATAGACACTTATTAGGGTTACAATTATGAATTTAAATCATACAAAATTGGCACCCTCGCAGGATCAGGAACATTAGATTTAATGAAATTAGTCCAGGCATAGTTTTTCAACATATGAGTATAGCAATCTTTTTTGGGTCCACGTATCACAACTTAATATTGTGTAAAATAAATAAAGGAAATAAATAACTGTTCATTTTTTTTTCGGAAATTACCAAATGCTTTTATTGTCTATTGAACGATGGGGAAAAGTTGAAACATCACAAATTAACGGTTTCTCGGGTTTCAATTTTAGCGGAAATCTAGTAAGGTGCCTCTCCATGTTTGAGAACATTATATATATTTAGTTTGTGACGCTGAAATGCACTGAAATATAATACCATTACAATAAGGATAAAGGTAAAGATGTGCTTATTATTGCAAAGTAACTTAATCGATCAATATTGTTATTATAAAAATTTCCATAGCTTTTGCGTAAAATTTTCATTTGATAATAACTATACACTAAATTACTTGACCCCGGAACATAAATATAAAAAAAGTATATAAATGAGATTTATTTATAATAAATTACGCTCATAATAAAGCCGTCACCGGCAATCCTTTGTCCTTTTGATACAGCTAATCTTCTTAATTCGGTTGATGAATAATACCAATGGCGAATTTTTAAATTTTTTTACCAATAATGACAATTGATAATAAATGTTTTTCTAAAAAAAAAAAAAAATCAATTGAGTCAACAAAAAAAAAGCAATAGGGTTCCATAAATAATTAATGTGTATGCGTTTGTTGATCCAATAACAATTCTTTTTCTAAATAATAATAATGTCTGTTAGAATCCAAAGAAAAAGAAACGAGAACTGGAAGAAAAGATACATGCGAGTAAGTGTTTATCACAAAAATGGTGATGGCGGCTATCATCACTCGTCGTCACTCTAGTTAAAATAATAAGAATCATATTAATATTTAATAAATGTGTTATACATTACTAGAATGATTGAATTGTTATTAATTAATAATGATTAGGTAAGTCATACCTTTTTGATGATTAATTCTTATATTTTTATATTTACATTCATATATGAATGTAGTAACAATAAATTTGGTATAACTCAAAAGTGCATCACTCAGATAATAATATTAGAGCCATCCATAAACGAACTTTAAAAGAAGAATTTTTAAAATAATATGGGGATGATGGTGAAGCTCTTCCCCCTCTGAACACAAATTCTTAAATTAATTCAAACTTAATTACTTCTTTTAAATTATCGTTAGCGGGGGGTGTTCAGACTTATAAATGCCCCCAATTCATTTCTAAAAATAAATATACTAGATCCAATATTATGCTTTATTGGTGTTGAATCTAATAAATACACTTTACGAGTTAGTGTCATTGATTCGGTATAATAACACCAAAGATGTTATTGATCCTCATTCTAACACTTGTATGAAAAATGAAATCATTGCTTCATGAGACTTTATCACCAATTAGTGAGCTTTGATTATTGACAGAATTAAGGAGGACGTTCACAACACATTGTCACTATACATTAGGATTGGCTACCTAATTAGCGACTTTGATAAGTTGTGGTCACGAAGTGCTTCCAGTCTCTTAATTCACATATTCACCACAGGCACTGATTCACATCAGCTGGCTTTTCGGTTGGTATAGAGAAGGACGTTCACAACAGTTTGTCCACCATACATTAGGGCTGGTTACCTAATTGGCATCTTTCAAAAGTTGTGGCCACGAAGAGCTTCCAGTTCTCTATTTACCAAATTCCTAGTGGCAGATAAGCAACAATTCAATAACTCGGTTCAAGAGAAAAAAAAATACAATCATCTTTCAAGATGATTTATGTTGATTATTTTCCTTTAGTATGGTAAATAATTATTTTGTTTAAAAAAAATATAAGAATGAATTTATAATTACGTATGTATTTTTTTATATTAATATATTAATATTTTTAAAAAAATAACAAACACATATAACTTACTATTAATGTTATTATTACATAGGCAACCCCGTTAATATGAACCCGTTAATCCGAAAACCCGTTAAAATGAATAATTTTTAAAACACCAAAGCCAAACATATGTAAATTACCCCGTTAATATGAATGTCACTAATAAAACTTTATAAACCGTAAACCGAAGAAATTTTTAAGTTTTTTGAAGCCATTTATATGTAAAATTGCCCCGTTAATCCGAATTTTTATAAACCGAAGTGAAATAAAAATTGCACCAATAATAATAAGATACAAGTTATACAAATACATATGTATGTTGTATGTGAAATTGAAATCTATAATTAAAATTTTGGGGTGGAGTGTTTGGATATGAAATTCTGATTGGCTAATTTGAATATGTGCAAATTCACAAATTTCATTTTCACGCACAACATGTACAAAATTAATAACCAGGGTAGACTTTCCTCAAGTGCAAACAAGAGGAAAGAAAACATATGCCTATAACAATCTCACAAAAAATATAAATATTCATTGAAAAAAATAAAGACCAAACATAAAAAATAACCAGCTTGCATCTAAAAATAATGTCAGTAAATCTACTGTTTCTGAAATTCTAAAAAAGAGCGATTATTTTTTATCATTGAATCCAAATCAATTCACTGCCAGTGTTGTGACCAGAAACTCTTTTGGCTTCCCGAAACGTTTCGGAAAATGAACTTACACTAAGCAGAAATCTAAACCTAAACCTAAACACAAACATAAACTACTAACCTAAACTAGTTTCGGGTGGTTTCTGTTAGTTACTGTTTCTGGTTTTTCCTAAACTCAGAGTTTCGGGTCACAACACTGTCTATCAAACATTGAAGTTGAGTCCAGCATGACCATGGAACTTTTTCTCACAGACGAAGGCTCCCAAACATTTGAAGGCTTTGGACAGGTGAAAGCTTTAGCCAGTGTTGGCAATTAGTCATTAATCAGCCAAGATAATGAGAGATCTTTTTTTTTTAAATTAATAATTTTTCACAAATCATCAATGGCAAACACCGGCTTTAGCAGTCTCTTTGACAATGATACAAATTCATGCAACCTTAGGGCCCCACTCCCCACCCCTGAGAATTACTTGCATCATATTATCATCGGGGGGGGGGGGGGGGAGGTAAGCTTAGCCTTTTGTACATTCTCGAGGAATATAAGAATAATTGTTTGAACAATATATTTCAACATCTAAAAGTTTCCAAATGCTGTATATTGAATTATTTTGTGTTTCCAGATTGTCCAAGTTCGTGCAGGTTTCCATATGTGTGAGAGAGAGAGGGATCTCCATAGCCATGTTGTCTTTTTCCTTTGACATTTCTTATTTATTGACAAAAGTATACCAATCATTTATGATGATAATGCAAAGACTGGATTTTTCTTGTGTTTATATGTGATATTTAGGCTATTATGTAAAAATAAAAATGTAAAACTTTATCATACCTTCTTCAAAAAATTTTTGGTACGCGACAAGAAAATAAATGTTGGCGTTTCACCAAAGCATGATTGAAAATCCATTTGATTGGCTGATCATCACATGAAATTTTGTATTTACACAGTGAATCTCGATTAATGGATAGTTTGGGCAATTAGGGAAAATTTTCCAAAAATCTGTTAAACCGAGATATCTGCTATATCGAGAAGGTTTTTATTAAGGTTTATTATGAAACCGTTCTTTGAACTTTATCCGTAAAACTGAGATTTTTAATTAGTATCCGCTAAATCGAGATTCACTGTGTACCAATTTTCATATTACAGTCAAAGCTCGTTATAGTGGAAATTTGGTTCCAGGCATTTTTGTGCACTATAACGAATTTCTACTATAAAGAAAAATCTCTTTATAATGGACTTATTATAGACAAATTGAAAAGTCTCATATAACGAGACTAAATTTTTTTTTATTAGGAACACAAATAAATTCATGCATAACATATATACGTAGTAAAATAAATAAATTATTATTAAATAAAACTGTCTAGTGTAAGTTGTTTTGCATTATCCTGATATGTTTATGAATTTTTGATTTTAAACCATTAATCATTTTTAATTCTTGATAGCTAATTGTAAAATTATTTGCCTCTTTATCAGAAATAACCATCATTTCCACTTCTTCCTCTTCATCTGAATCGTCAACCTCAGGACTTGAATCTACTGCTCTAATAATTTCTTCATCTGTTGGTTCTTGCGTTGGTGCTTTATCATCATTGCAAATAAAACATTCTGCAGTGATTGGATCTTTCAGGTTTAATGCATCAATTGAATTCTGTAGTTCAGAAATTTCAGTAGAAGAAATTGTTTTAAATTTATTGCTTCTTCAGTTTGTAAAAAAAAATTAATCAAGTGTTGCTGCCATCAAAAAAAGAATATAATTAATTCAATTTGTTAGTCACACATTATTTAGAGATTAACCATTAATGTAAAAGATTGCCGTAAATCACATGATTTCCACTATAACATAATTCTCTATAGTGCAGGACACCTAGTCCCACAACTTTTTATTGGTCTTGTATATTCTTTAGTATACCAGAAATGGAAATGTAA